AAAAAAAAAAAAAAAAAAAAAAAAAAAAAAAAAAAAAAGTTATACATTTGTTTTAATGTGAATTAGAAAAACATATAAGAAAGACAACAAAGGTGTTATAGATACTAATGCTTAGGACAAGTTGGAGGTTTAAAAAGTATGTTACTAAGTAAATGATGGTATAGAGAGCATTTAAGCATAGCAAACATAATAAAAATAACACACACGGCAGTTTAAGAAAAACTTACTAAGTAGAAAAGAAAAAAGGTAGAGGCCTGTACACAGTTCCTCACACAGCAGCAAAATGAGACACTGCAACTAGGAGTCCTACTTTCATTCCTTGTTATGCACCAACTTGCTGGATTGCTCTGGGGACTCTGTAATTTCCCACAACTTGAAAATATAATGGTTACCCCTCTTTCTTATAGAGTTATCCCGAGCTTTATATTTATCATACTTAAGAAACCTAAAATAAAAAAGCTTGAACTTCAAAGTATTTTAATTAACTACTGTTTTGAAACCAAAAATGTATGTTTACCGATAGCTCATTTATTCCCAGTTATACGTACAAGGTGGTCTGAAAGTTTTAAAGTCAAGAACAGCATATTAAGACATTATTTTTGGAGCATTTTAATTAAAAATACACAGCTGACATAAATTAAATATCCATAGGTCTGTGCACTATAGATGAAATACATTCCAGTGCATGGCATACCATACCTTCATAGATGTATTATACAATGAAATAAATGAAGTAAAAAGATCCAGGTAACGAGTTGTGAAGACCAGTGCAAACAGAAGCTGGCTTTTCCCAGAAATACCTATAGAAACAGAAGGGAAGTATTAGAAAGGCCTGAAGAGCTTTAGGATTCCTGTGGATCACACTGGGCAGGGAGTACAGACAGGGAAGGAGGGGCACGTGGGGTCAAGGCCCAGGTCTGGGATGCCTCTAAATGAACAAGAGCAGCTGTAGTTTTTCTATCCTTGTCATTCCTGAACACACTCCTTTTAAGAAGCTCTAACAGGCTTTTCTGCCTCACTCTAAAGGGTGACTACAGGAAAGGGACTTCATTTTGGCAGGATGTGTATCATTCAAAAGGAACCTTGTATTTCTCAAATACATCAGCTTAGGTAGGAACAAATTTCTCTCAATAATTCTGTCATTTAGTGTTATAATTTGTCTCTTACCTATATATTTTTCTTTTCCTTTTTTCTCTCCCCGCTGCCCTGAGACAGAGTCTTCCTCTGTTGCCCAGGCTGGCAATGCAGAGGCACGATCATAGCTCACTGTAGCCTTGATCTCCTGGGCTTAAGCAATCTTTCCACTTCGGCCTCCCGAATAGATGGGACTAGAGATGTGAGCTATCCCACCCAGCTAATTTTAAAAAAGAGTTTTGTAGAGATAGAGTTTCACCATGTTGCCCACACTAGTCTTGAACTCCTGGGTTCAAGCAACTCTCTCAGCCTCCCAAAGTGTTGGGACTAGTTATGAGCCACCTCCCCTAGCCCTTTCTTTGCATGGTAAAATAGTATGTCCATGGTGAGAAATCTTTTGAGAATGGAGTTGGAGTCTACTGTGATTAAGGGGGATGAGGAGTCTAGTGAAGAGCACTGACTCAAGTAAGAGTTGCACAGGAACTCCTGCTGGAATAACAGCATGACCTCCCAAGATGACTCCTTTGCTAAGGGCAGCAAGTACTCGGACATGTTAAGATTTTTAAAGCTTCTATCTCAATTGGGCATAATGGTTCATGGCAGTAATCTCAATACTTTGAGAGGCTAAAGAGGGAGGATCACTTGAGCCCAGGAGTTCGAGACCAGACTGGGCAACATAGCAAGAGTCTGTCTCTACAAAAAAAAAAAGAAAAATTATAGTCAGGCCAAAGTGGCGCACGCCTGTGGTCCCAGCTCATGGGAGGTTGAGGTGGGAGGACTACTTGAGTCCAGGAGGTTGAGGCTGCAGTGAGCTGTGGTCACATCCCTGCACTCTAGCCTGGGTGACAGAGTGAGACCCTGTCTCAAAAAATTAAAAGAAAACAAAAACAAAAACAGAAATTTCATTGTATTTGTATAAAAATGTTCCTGAATGCTAGGACAGCATGAAGGTAGGAACCTGCAACTACAGCCAGTCTTCAAAAGCAGCTGTCTTTTTTAAGGCCTTGAAACTGTGTTTCCACTTCCAACCACCAACCCACCTCCAGAGCACTGCATGGCATGGCCACACTCAGCTGGGAAGGCTGGATGTTTATGTGGTGTGCACACAGCTTTTCTGACATTTATAGTTAGTCAAATATTTATGTGACAAAGGACATGAACTATGGGTTTCAGATGCTGGAGACTGAGCGGATGCATTAAAAAAACTGAAGGCTGATTAAATGTCAGAACCCACCCACCCTCATCTTTGATGCAAACTTCACACCATTACACATTTTAGTAAGTATGAGTTTAACAGAAATGTCTCTTTACCCAAATCATTCACAACACTACTCTGGAACATGAAAAGCCCTTTATTTTTATTTTCTTGAGACTGGGTCTCACTCGGTTGCCCAGGCTGGAGTGCAGTGCCAAGAGTACAGCCCACTGCACCTTCAACCTCCCTGGGCTCAGGTGATCCTCCCTCTTCAGCCTCCTGAGTAGCTGGGACTACAGGTGCATGCGCCACCACGCCTGGCTAATTTTTGTATTATACATTGTTTTTCAATATTTTATGAACAATCATTTTGCAGCTTGCTAAAGCTGAAAGCCTGAATGTAAGAATGTTACTTTCCCAGATGAATAATTGCAGTCCCAGCCTATTCACATATACACCTAAATAGAAATGGAAGAAAATGTTGATGCCATCCTTCCAGATCCATCAATAGAAACCAACTTCAAGGAGGAAACACAGACAGTAAATCTGCTCTGCTTAGTCTTTTCCCCAGTAACGGGTAACTTTTTTTTCCCTACAGAGATCAATGCTCCAAAGAAGAAATAACAAGGCTGCTGCTAACCAAGAAAACTGGAGGTTACAGAGGGGGAAGAAGAAAGAACAGGGAGCAGTCAGACCCTATCTGGTGTTTGTGGAAGCCTTAAGAAATCAATTTCCAGCTTATTTCCTATATGGTTCTTTCCAGTATTTTAAATACAAACACATAGGATACAGAAAGGTGAATTCTGTGGGAAAGGGTTTTACTCTAACAGAACTTTGGAAGCCAGGCAGATTTGAAATTGTGCCCTTCTTCCCAGCATGCCTATAGTGAAAACCAGGGATCATCATATTGTCTTTACCAGCCCCCCTGGAGACCCAAATCATATCCCACCTCCTCCGGAGGTCATCTCTGAAGACACCCACCCTTGGGGCTGTTGATTCATTCAGCAAGCACATAATGAGACCTGCTTCATGCCAGCTGCTGCTTTAGCTCCAATTACAGTACTTATAAAAATACACTGTGATGATTTGGTTCCTGCCTCTCTTCTCCCCAAAAACACCATTGGATACTGAGATCTCTAAAGGCTGGGGTCACACCTTATTCCATCTTGTATTTCCTGCACGGGACACTGGGCCCTAACACACAGCAGGACTCAGAAAATATTTGCTGAATGAACAAATGGACAAAAGAAAATGGAATTCATTTTACCTTCATGTCATGGGGGCAAATTCTCATTTTGTGGTATTTTGGGAGAACACTTCTGAAGAATGTCCAAGTCATACTGTGTCCCTGTGACTGTAAATAGGGCTCTGCCCTAATTTACCACCAGCTAGAGGGTGGGAGAACCCAGAGTGCGCACGGGGCAGTGTGTTGTCTACGGCCTGTCCATGGAGTAGCATCCACACAGGACCGCCGTACTGGAAATCTGCGGATGCTAACGTGGTCCCACACCATTCTCCCTGGCCCAGGATCCTGATTAGGAAGTAGGAGCAGCTTCTTACAGAACAACAAAACTGTTCTGTCTTCACAGGAAAATGGGGATTCTAGCTGAAGACAGAATGGGGTAGGGCAAGAATCTCCTGGAAGGGTTAGGGGTAGAACACCTGCTACTAAGCCAGAGCAGCTCCCAGTTAGTATCTCTCTCCTTTGAGATCAAAGCATGCTAAGGTTACCAGGTAATAAGCTCTCCCAGAATACTCACTTTTGTAAATGTTTCTGAAACCGACATCCCCATACCATATACACCAAACATCCATAACAAGGAGTACAACTTGTTAAATGGAAGCCAGTCATTAAACTTAACATCATTCTTGTCTTATTCTACTGTATCAGGTTAAATGTCTTTTGTTTTCTGGGGTCTTTGTGGCCCAGAAAACAAAAGACATTTAACCTGATACAGCCCAGGCTGGAGTACACTGGTGCAATCATAGCTGACTGCAGCCTTGAACTCCTAGTCTCAAGTAATCCTCCCAATAAGGTATTATATATTACAAAAATAGCCAGAAGAGAGGTTTTCGAATGCAGAAATGATAAATGCATGAGATGATGGATATAACTACCCTGCTTAGATCATTGTATTGAAACATCAAGTTGTATCCCATAAGTAGATCCAATCATAATGTACCAATTAAAAATTTTAATCCATAACTCAAAATAATGCAAATAAAAACACATAAACCAAAAATAAGACATGAACATTTTAAAATTTGATATTGTCAAATTTCTCCTAGAAAGGCTAAGCCAATTTACATATCTACTAACACCAAAGGAGAAGACTCTTTTCTTCACATCCTTGTCAACCTGAGAGGTTGTAAACCTCTTTTACTTTTTCCTACCCAGTGGTGGGCAGGTAACAGTATGCACTGGTGTTCTTCTTTCTTTGCTTGCCTCCCCCGACTCCTTTCTTTTTTTTTTTTTTTTTTTTGGATAGAACCTCACCTGTTGCCCAGACTGGGGTATAATGGCATGATCGCAGCTCACTGCAGCCTGAGGCTTAAGTGATTCTCTCATCTCAGCTTCCTGAGAAGCTAAGACACAGGTACACGCCACCATGTCCAGCTAATCTTTTATTTTTTGTGAGATAGGGTCTCACTATGTTGCCCAGGCTGGTCTCAAAGCTTCTGGCCTCAAGTGATCCTTTAGCCTTGGCCACCCAAAGCGCTGGGACCACATGCAGGAGCCACCACACCTGGTCTGAACTGCTCGTGCTCGCTCACGCGCTCGCTCACTCTCTCTCTCTCGATACATATATGTATACATATATATTTTGAGATGGAGTCTCACTCTGTCACCCAGGCTGGAGTGCAATGGCGCAATCTTGGCTCACTGCAACCTCTGTCTCCCAGGTTCAAGCGATTCTCCTGCCTCAGCCTCCCACGTAGCTCAGATTACAAGGGTCCGCCGCCACGCCTGGCTAATGTTTTGTATTTTTAGTAGAGACAGGGTTTCGCCATGTTGGGCAGGCTGGTCCTGAAAACTCCTGACCTCAGGTGATCCACCTGCCTCGGCCTCCCAAAGTGCTGGGATTACAGGCGTGAGCCACCACGCCCGGCTGCACTGCTATTTTAATATTCAAGTTCCTAGCTTCTAGTGAGGCTGGGCATCCTTTCATGCTTCACTGGTCTTTTGTTATTCATCAGTGAATCGCCAACTTTGCTCATTTTTCTGCAGGGTTTTTATTTGTAGGAGTACTTTATTATAGATATTAAGCTTTTGTCACTTAGGTATATTACAGATTATTTCTCTCAGTTTATTATCTTTAGCTTTGATAATATTCTGAATTAAAAAATCAATTTGGAGAGATGTGTCTTATTCTTCTTCACCAGCCTGCCTGGGTGCTCTCCAGGACCATGGTATAAACATACATGCAAGTCATCTTCTATGTCCATCAGCATAGTTTAATACTTCCCTAT